CGCACGAATCGGGGGCGAGGACCAGAGTTGGTGGCGAAGTCGCGTTTGATTATCCCTGGTCATCTAGACCCGCAGCTTGGTCTGTTCAGGACGGATTCGCCTACCACCTCCCCTTTGGCCGTGCTGGTGTGTGCGTCTATCGCAATGGCGATGGATTGGACATTCGAGTGCTTCGACGTAGCGACTGCGTTCCTGTCCGGGCTGAAGCTGGAGCGGGAGCTGTACGTGAGGGCTCCTAAGGACGGGCTCCCGGCCGTCGACGGCGCTGGATGGCCAGCTGTGCGGCCTTATGCGTTGCTTCGTTTGCTGAAAGGGGCGTACGGTTTGACGGAGGCGCCTCGGTTGTGGTATCTCCGAGCCCGCCAGGTGCTGACGGACGAGGTCGGCTTTGTGGAGCTGCGCTGTGCTCGGGCCGTCTTCGTTTACCGTGTGACCGACAAGTTGATTGCTATGTTGACGTTGCATGTCGACGACGGCATGCTGTTTGGGAACCCGCGTGACCCCCAGTACCAGAAGGTGAAGGCGAATATCAACAAGCGCTTCAACATCAAGCACTGGAAGGAGGGCAATGACAAGGAGGCCGTCGCCTATCTCGGGGAGGAGTGGTGGCGTCACCCCGACCACATTGAGATCAGCATGCACGAGTACATCGGCAAGCTGACAAAGCACCCCCTTGCAAGGGGGCAGGACGAGGAACGAGAGATGACTCCAGAGGAGCACCACGACTTCCGGAGCTTGCTCCAGAAGGTGCGCTGGCCTGTCGCACGCGTGGTGCCGCAGCTCGCTTACAGTGTGTCGGCGCTCGCACAGAGGGATCCGAAAGGTCGGCGGTTATTGCACCTGCGAGTGCTCAATGACATCATCGACCGACTTCAGGACTACGACAAGAGAGGTCTGGCGACTCTCCGGATCCGCCGTGTGGACATCGAGCACTTGCAGGTGCTCACGCTCATGGACGCTTCGTTCGCAAAGGAGCCCGGCTGTAAGAGCCAGATGGGGTTCATGAGTATGATTACGGACATGCGCGTGCTGAAGGAGCTAGCGGTGTGTTGCCTCGTGGAGTTCCAGAGCAGTACTATTACACGAGTTGTTGGATCCACGATGGCCGCAGAGTCCGCAGCCATGTCTGTTGCTTTGGATCGGCAGCTCTACCTCAGGCTGCTTATCGAGGCCGTCTTGTACGGGGAGCCGCCCTTGCAAGGGGACTGGAGGCTGGTGCTGAAGGTCCCGGGGGCGCTTGTGACGGATGCGAAGTCGCTCTACGATCACACGTGCAAGATCGGTTCAATGCCGGTGTCTCGGCAGACCCTCATCGACCTGTTGGTGGCCAAGGACTTGATCGAGCAGGAGGCCATCAAGTTCAAGTGGCTGCCCAACAGCCATATGCTGGCGGACGTGCCGACGAAGGCTGTGCAGCCTAACGAGGTGCTATTGCAGTTTCTCCGTCACGGGGTGCTCAGCATGGTGCCGACTGCTGAACAGGAGGATGAGGAGGCACACCGTCTGCGGCTGCGCCGCGGACAGCGTGAGAGAGCCAAGGAGCGGAAGGTCCAGCGTCGGGCCGACGGGAGGTCCTTGCAGCCGCTGCATGGACCTGGTGATGGCTACGGTGAAGTGCACGCGTATATCGAGATGACAGTCTGGAACAGTGAGTCTGGACATTCATACTTTATATTTGAGCCTCAGGCCGCACCTGTGCTTGAGGTGCTCCGGCCTGTCGGCCGGAAGAGGCGGTACCGTGTGCCGCGGTTCATGATTGTAAGAAGCGGCATCGGGGCAGCATTGTTCTCACCCAGTGTGAAGAGGGCACCTTCCCTGCCCCTCTGCCGCCCCGTGCCGCCATTGTAAGCATGATGCATGGATGGTACATTCTGTGCATACGTTTCATGTTTGCGGCGTGCGCCCTGCCCGCCGCCGTTTGGCCCTAGTCCTAGGGCCCTGGGACTGCACTCAGCAGACAGGTCGCCGCGCGGCCCGCGTGAAAACATTCACATTGACACTGATATCCAAGCTTCGCTGTGTTACAGCGAGCGTTTTCGCTGGGTTTCGGGCCTGGGGCCCTCACAAATCGACCTGGCTCGAGACATGCCGCAGGAAAATGGGATCTAGGGCTCTGGTCGTGATGTGTCGGGATGTTGTTTCGCGACGCCGGATCTCAGGGTAGGAAAGGTATCCCAAGCTCGCGCTGCGAAAAAACAGGACGTACAATTGTTTGACATATTTCGGCCTGTGGGGGCCGTCGCCCAGCTCCGGCACCGCCCAAAAAACTACCCTGAATGAAAGCTCGGCCCTGGGGAAAGAAGCGTGATTTCTGGGGATGGGGCCCCCTAGAGCCCGAGAGGGGTTGGGCCCCAAGAAGATTGGAAAAGGATCCATGGTGGCAGGATGGGCCGACTGCCATTAGATATTACAGGACATGGCTTACTCAACATATATTCTCCTTTCTAAAAAGAGAATAGACTCTACCCCCCCCTGGACTTAACGCTTCCCCTTGGGATAATAGAATTTCATACATATATTCTACACACTCGTCCATCCTAAATCGGAAATCATATCATCCCAGCCAAACCGGTATCCCCCCCCCTGAGGTTCCCTTGTAAAAAACACTATGCGGTGACATGATTTGTTCGAACATAACACTTTTTCACGAATCCCTTGCAAAAAATGGGACGAAGTGCACACGCGCGCGTCGTCGCGCGCGCGTGCCGAAATCGTTCAAAAACCTTCGGTGCCGGAAGGATTTCGCAATCGAGTTTCCCAAAAAACATACAAAACACAGGGTTTCGCAACACTGATTTGCTAAAAAAGCATCCGCGCGAGCTCTTGCGAAATCTTAAGAAAACCATGGGTTCTTCAAGATTTTCACAAAATTCTACCAAACGGGCTTCGCGCGCGCGCATGTCGAAATCTGTCGAACGCCCTTGCGCGTGTGCCGTCGCGAGAATCCTCTGTAAAAAATGGGACGAAGTGCAGACGCGCGCGTTGTCGCGGGCGTATGCCGAAAACCTTCAAACCCATCGGTTTCGGAAGGATTTCAAAATCGTGCGTCCAAAAAACCTACAAAAACCAAAGGTTTCGCAACACGGATTTTCAACAAAAGCGTGCGCGCGCGCTCTTGCGTCGTCGTCGTCGTCGTCGCCGTCTTCCCTCCTCCCGCGTCGTCGTCGTCGTCGCCCACGTCGTCCTCTGTCTTTTCTCGTTTTCGTCGTCGTCGTCCTCTTTGGCGTCGTGGTCGTTTCCGTCGTCGTTGTCGCCGTGGTCGTCCTTCCTCCTCCTCCCACGTCGTCGTCGTCGTCCGTCGTCGGCGTCTCGTCGTCGTCCCTCCTATTTCGTCGTCGTCGTCGTCGTGGTTGTCGTCGTCGTCTTCCCTCCTCCCTGGTCGTTGCCGCCGTCGGCGTCGCCGTCCTTCCTCCTTCGTCGTCGTTCGCGTCGTCGCCGTCCTCCCTCCTCCCTCGTCGTTATCGTCGGTTGTCGTCGTTGTCGCCGTCGTCGTCCGTCCTCCTCCCTCGTCATCGCCTTCGTTGGCGTCGTCGTCGTCGTCTTCGACGGCGTCGGCGTCGGCGTCGGTGTCGTCGTCGAAGTCGTCGGAGACGGCGTCGGTGTCGTCCTAGTCGTTGTCGTCGGTGTCGTCGTAGTCGGTCTTAGCAGGTTTTGCAAACCAAGTTGCGGGTGGGTGGGTGGGATGTTTGCGCGAGCAGTGGAGAGGACAGCTTCAAGACAGCCAAAGTGGGTTACATCGCATAATTGTCACCGACATAGGTCACACCACACAGCTTGAACGGCATAGCCTACACCACGTAGCTTACACCGCATGGTCTTCTCCACAGTGCAATCACGCTGACTAACATGTTGTATGTTAACGCAGCGTTTCTGCTTCCATTGTCCCCAGGGCTCCACCGCTCAGGGCCTTGGGGGCGTTGGACCCAGTGAGGGTAGGGCAGGGATCCCAAGCTGAGCCTTCACTGCTCCCTGAGATCCGACGTCGCGAAACAGCAGCAACATCGCGAAGAATCGCGCAGCCTTTCTCAAGCTGGATCGTGAGGGAGTCGGGGCCCGAGCCTGGCGAAAGCGACCGCTGCAAGAAAAGCTGCAACGCCCGGATCTCATGGGGACCGTGATAGGATATGGTAGGGGGCCGCCTGTCCTTCCCAGAATCCGACGTCTTCATACGTCCAAGACGAAGTCCCCCCGGAGTCCCGACCCTTTTCCGCAGGACCCCACGGCCGGTGTTTCCTCGCCAGCCGCTCCTTCACGGTCCCGAGGCTCAGCGAGGACGCCCATGTGTCGAAACGGCGAAGCACACATGCTTCTTGACTGTTTCAGTGCGCTGGATGCCTGGGTTTGACGCCATCTGGCCGATCCTGGGAGCCTTGCACCCAAGAAGCGTGGCCACCTCTCGCGGGCGCATCCTTTGCTTCCGCCGGCTTCCGCAGGCCTCCCGCTGGCTTCTGCAAGCAGAACTGCCCCCGTCTTACTTCCGCCGCCTTCCGCCGAAGATTCTGCTGTTCTCGTCGTCGTACTCGAGAACCACATCCCAGACATAACTTCGAGCACCCAGCAAAGCCCCGAAGCAGTGCGTGCCCGACGCACTAGCGAGGTGTCGAACGAGAACCGCCTCCCAGGGTCCGACACGCGAAAACCCTCCAGTTTCGACGCTCGCTCGGTGCTCGAAACCCTTGCCGGTGATCCGGGCTGAAGTAGGTCGGGACATCACAAGCCGAGGAAACCATGGCAAAACCCCTGCGATCCTCGCAGGCAAGAGGCCCTGCCTGGAAGCGCCTCGCCCACCCCTCGAAGCCATACCATTTCGACCAGCGCGTTCCGCTCTGCTCGCGGAGCACCTGGTCGCACCGCAACCGCCCCTGGGTGCGCCGCGGGGGGCCCGCGCTCCATGATCTCGAGACGAACCTGCGTGTTGTTTTTCTGCTTCGAGACTTGGCGAGCAGGCACTCTGCGAGTCGTGGAACGCGCCCGGGAGGCATTTGGGCCCCCCGGCTCGCCGGGCTGAACGGCCCGCGCGGCTCCCTGCCGGCGGGCACCGCGTGCCGGCGCAGGGGCATGGAGAGGGTCTCCCTGCCCGGGGAGGCTGCAGCGCACAAGTCTCCGACGATGTGAGCGACGAGAAGAAGCCCAGACATTTTTCCGTCGCAGCGCGGCAGAGGCAGTCCGCACGCGCGCTCAGCAAGCGGGGTGACGGCATTGCGAACTTCCCAGATGCAAGAGGAACAGGAGGAGGAAGAGGAGCGGCCGCAGGAGGGAGAAACTCAGGCTTCCAATGCACGGTGGGGCAAGCGGACCAGGAGCCCTGAACCCAGGGTCTGGAAGCAGGTGGACCTCCAATCGTGAATCTGCCATGGACATCACCGCGGCCCTCATTAAGTTACATCAGGAATCCTCAAAAGGGTCTGCAGCCTCCTGGGCACATTCCTTGACGAACGCCCCCACACGTCTTGGACAAACAAGGGCGGAGGGCCTTCGTAGGGTTCGGCCTCCAGGGGCGCTCGCCAGGCCCAGGGACCGCCAACAAAAACGACCCGGGGTGGAAAAATGGTCCTGGGGAAGGGGTCCCGACCTCTGGGGAGCCACGCTATGAAAAAAACACGACGTCGGATGTCTGGGAGGAAACGGGCCTTCCGCAAGAGAACATAGCGACCTCACGCCGCGGCTTACGCGACCCAGTGTGGCATCCCGCGCGGAGAAGAGGGCGCTCACGAGCGACCTTACGCGGGAAGCTTACGTGCGAATGTTGTCACGGCCGACCCGGTTTTCTTCCGTCGCTCACGTGATTAGTTCAATCCTTGTTCTTCCTGATCGATTTCGGCCTCTGGGGCCCGCTTCCGGGCCCGGCACTCTCAAGACTAGCTCCCTAGGACGGGGTGCGGGACCTTTGAATCGCCGGATTGAAACAGGTGGGCATGTTGGACGTCTGGGCAGGTGGGCAGGTGTCTCAGGCCCAGGGGGTCCCCAGCCTTTTGTCGCCCCATCCTGGACCACCACATGGGGCCTTCTGGGCCTCGTGGGGGCTGCTCCGGAGACCGTGGGGGGTGCCTTGGAACGCCCCGGAACACCATACCTGAGTACCTGAGATCCGACGTTGTAGAAAAAAATGCAAATTCGCGGACACCGCGACCAGAGCCCAAGATCGATCCTGTGATGGTTCTGGGGCCCGAAGACCGGGCACAAGAAGCGCAGAGCGAAACAACCTGCGACACCCGGATCTCAGGGGAACTATTGGGGGACACCGTGGGCCAGGGGGGCACTTCTGGCGGCGCCCGACCTGTCGCCGGCGATGACCTCGTGGAGGGCCCCCTTGAACTCGTACAGGACGTACAGGCTCAGCTCCGCATCGTTGCACAGGGGCAGCGGGTTGTAGAAGCCAGGCAGGTCCGCCTTCCCGTCGAGGGCTCGACGACTTCTGCTGTCCCCAGACTCGCGCTGGAGCGTCCACAGTTTGCTCCAGGTCTCCCTGGAGTTCAGACCTCTAGATTTGCGTGGATTCGCCTCGGTGTACATATATCTATCCAGATTCCAGTTGGCATTTCAACATTTGCCTGACTTTACCTGGCTTGATCCCCGCAAGTCGACGGGAGACAAGTCGCCAAGCCCTTTATAGGAACCTTCGAGGCCGCTGCGCCCCCCGGCAGCATGATGGTGTGCTTCTCCACCAGGCACTGCAGCGGCGTAGCCACCTCAGATTAGAGGAGCAGGAACTCCACAAATCGGCGGCGTGCCCGGGGGGGCGTGAGCAGGAGAAGGCCCTCTCTGAAGGCGGCGTCTCAGAAGCCCTCGCACCTTCTGAGCAACGTCCTGTTCTTCGGGGCGTAGGGAACTCCTCAGAAGGCCGAAGACCATCCGAGCCTTCTGGGCTCTCGCTTCCCCCCGGGGCGCGCCGCCGAATGAACATGCACTTTCGGAGCTCCGACGGGATTGCTTGGATCGGTGCTGGACCCCCCTCTGGCGGCGCCTCTGGGGGGGGAGGAGGAGGAGGAGGAGGAGGAGGAGGAGGAGGAGGAGGAGGAGGAGGAGGAGGAGGAGGAGGAGGAGGAGGATCGAGGAGGAGGAGGAGGAGGAGGAGGAGGAGGAGGAGGAGGAGGAGGAGGAGGGCGCGGAGCGCGCCACAGGGGCGGGTGCTGAGACCGCCCGGGGCTGCTCGGGGGGGCCGGCCGAGGCCAGCCGGGACGGCCTGGGGGGGCCGCCGGCGCGCAGTCCGCGGGCCGTACTCCCCTGGGCCTCTCGTTTTTTACCGTCCTCGTCGGACCCGTCGACCACGTGGACGCGCTGTCGTAGCCAGGCGCTCATAGAGAAACGTTCCCTATGGCATCGCATAACACATATAAGATGCGCACATGGGGAGCTCCACGCAGCGAGCATCTGTTTTCTCGTTTTTGGGGGGGGGCGTCTCGTTTTTTTTGGTCGTACTTCCCTGGGCGTCTTGTTGTGTTTCCTCCTGCGCCCCAGCATCGGACCAGGCGACACCAGCGCCGAGCTCGGGCTCGGGCTCGGGCTCGGGCTCGAGCTCGAGGAGGGGGAGGGGGAGGGGGAGGGGGAGGGGGAGGGGGAGGGGGAAGGAGGGGGAGGAGGAGGAGGAGGGGAGAGGAGGAGGAGGAGGAGGAGGGAGGAGGGGAGGAGGAGGAGGAGGAGGAGGAGGAGGAGGAGGAGGAGGGGAGGAGAGCTCGAGCTGGGACCGAGCCCGGGCACCTCGTCTCCCCAGCTCCCTGGGCCCGCGGAGCGGCCCGCGGAGCGCCCCGCGGAGCGCCCCGCGGGAGAGGCCAGCATTATCGGCGGAGCCGCGCGCCCCCGCCAGACAGACAGCGCGGCATCAAGGCAGAAAACAGGGGGGAGAGGGAGGAGGAGGAGGAGGAGGAGGAGGAGGAGGAGGAGGAGGAGGGGAGGAGGAGGAGGAGGAGGAGGAGGAGGAGGGAGGAGGAGGAGAGAGGAGGAGGAGGAGGAGGAGGAGGAGGAGAGGCGGAGGAAGGAGGAGGGAGGGAGGAGGAAGGAGGAGGAGGAGGAGGAGGAGCGGAGGAGGAGGAGGAGGAGGAGGAGGAGGAGGAGGAGGAGAGCGGAGGAAGGAGGAGGAGGAGGAGGAGGAGGAGGAGGAGGAGGAGGAGGAGGAGGAGGGGAGGAGGAGGAGGAGGAGGAGGAGGAGGAGGAGGAGGAGGAGGAGGAGGAGGAGGCGGGGGAGCGCGGCAGAAACAGGGGGCCGTCAAGCGAACCCTGCCCCCGGCGGTGGACAAACCTCCCTTTAGTAAACCTCCCATTACTTTAGCAAGCCTCCCCTCAATGAAAACGGCCTGGGGGCGAAACCGGCGGAGCTGGACCCGCAAAACGACGGCCGCGACGCCCTCTCGCGGACCGAAAACGGCCAATTCCTGAATCGACGTGTCAGGGTAGGAGGTCTGTCCAACCCCGATGCCCCCTGCCCCCCACGACTTCTGAGGGGGAGGCGCGAAGTGAACCCCGCCCTCCCCCTCAGAAGTCGTGGGGGGCAGGGGGTAGGGTTCGCATGTGGCCCCCTAATAAAGACGTAAACTTCCGCAAGTCCGCGCGGATCTCTCGTGGACCGGCATTGGACCTCCTTCGGCGGTTCCGGATGTGCCGCCCAGGGAGCCAGCGCCGATCCAAGGGATCCGTGCGAACTTCTGAGACGTTAGGCCCTGTGCCGCTCTGCATGGTCCTGCAAGATCCTCCAGGATCCAGCGTGCGAGCCCGGGTCAATGCAACCCTGGCTTGGAGGGATCCTGCGATATCAGGCGCTCAGGCTGACCTCCATTTCCATTGGCCCACGTCTCTACCAGCTCAAACAAGGTTCCCGATCCCTTCCGCTTGGCCACCTTTGTTCGTCCCGGATATAACCCGGATATACTTTTGATGGCCCTGGACCCCGTCCATGGGCCCCATAGGCTGACATGAAAAAGAAAAAACTAAAGCATTGAATCAATAATATAATCAGAAATCGCGGTCCCGAAACCCCGAAGCTTTCCCCAGGGCCAGCTTTTCATCCGCGCGGAGCTCCGACAATTTACGTTTATGCATTTTGTTCCTCGCCGCCTCCAGCACGGGGCCCACAAGGTCCTCGGCCCGGATGGCCCGCTGCCCAGACGAGCACTCCTCCAGCAGCTCCTGAGGGGCAGCGAAATTAGGCGAACGAACAATTACATAAACATCACAACTCGGAGGCCAGCGCGGATTTCTCGGATCGGCGCGGCGCCGGAGGCGCCGCCAGGGGGGTCCAGCGCGGATCCGAAAAATCCGCGCGAACCTCCGAATTGTTCTGTTAGTGTAATTTTCCGTTCGCCTAGATAGTGGGGTACCGGCTCCAGTTTGGACGCTTGAAATGGGTACGGAAAAAATGGTTACAATGCCCAACAACAACTGTTGTCCCAAACCAACAGCGGCCGCTGTTGGGCAGACGGCAGTCTGTCTCAAATGTACACAGGCCGCGGAGACACCGACAGCGAGTCCTGTTCAAAATGCACAGGCACTGCTGTTGGGCAGTGTACCCTTTCTTTCCGTACCCAGGTCGCTCGTGCCGATCTCAGGGGTAAAAAAACATCGACCTGGCATCGGCGAGACACCGCCGATAGGTCGGCGACAGGCCCCTGACAGCGAACCCGCGTGGTTCTGGGCGGGAGGAGGAGGAGGAGGAGGAGGAGGAGGAGGAGAAGGAGGAGGAGGAGGAGGAGGAGGAGGAGGAGGAGGAGGGAGGAGGGAGGAGGGAGGAGGGAGGAGAGAGGAGGAGGAGGAGGAGGAGGAGGAGGAGGAGGAGGAGGAGGAGGAGGAGGAGGAGGAGAGGAGGAGGAGGAGGAGGAGGAGGAGGAGGAGGAGGAGGGAGGAGGAGGAGGAGGAGGAGGAGGAGGAGGAGGAGGAGGAGGAGGAGGAGGAGGCGGGCTGAAGGGCCTCTGTCGGCGCTGCCTGGGCGATCGGGGGCCGAGGCCTCCCACCTGGCCCTCCGGGCGGCCGCTCTGGGCGACTCCGGGGGCAGCGCCAGCACGCTCTCGGCGAGACGTAGCTTCGGGAGCGGCCAAGAGGGGGGTGTCCAGGGGGGGGTGCAAATCATGACCGGCGGCATGTGCGCGGCCCAGCGGGGGGGCCAGGGACGTAATGGAATAAGAAGAGGCGCCGCGAAATCTGGGGAATATCATGGCCCCCGCCAAGATATCCACCCCCCCCTAGTCATCACCCCCCTCTTTTCCGCCCCCGACAGCTGCTGAAACGCACCCCGACGCCGGAAAACCAGTTCAAGCCGTCCGAAAACCCAGACCCCCTCGCGCTGTGACAAAACCACGACGGGAGGGTTTTCGCTATCTTTTCGGCCTCCGGGGGCCCTCACCGGGCCTCGGGGCCGTCAAAGAACGACTCAGAACGGAAAACCGGTCCCGGGGAAGGGGTCCAGACCTCCGGGGGTCGCGTCATGAAACAATCATGACGTCGGGGGCCTGGGAACCTCGAGTGCCTCCCCAAATAGGGGAACAAAAAGCAGCAGCAACAACAAAAACTCAGAGGTCCGCGCGGATTTCTCGGATCGCGCGCCGGGGAGGGGGGTTCCAGCGCCGATCCGAGAAATCCGCGCGGACCTCCGAGTTTCTTGTTTATGCCACTTGTTGCCCCCCTACCAAAGCAAAACAGGGCTAGGATCGGGATAAGTCGCTCCAGAGCGTTCCGGAGCGCTCTCAGAGCGTTCCGGAACGCTCTGGAGCGGCCGCGGCGCCCGATACATCCTCCAAACCCGCCGATTCTCAGAGATTTCGAGTCGTTTTACAGTGGCCCTTCCCCGATCTTCGCGTCGTTTTACCCCGATCTTCGAGTCGATTTCGAGTCGATTTTGCCCCGATCTTCGCGTCGTTTTACAGAGGCCCTTCCCCCGGGACCGGCTGCTCCTCCTGCCCGGGGCCGCTCTCCGCCGGAGCCCCCCGGGGCGCCCTTCTCCCCCCGAGAAGTGCGCCCCCGCGGAGCTCCTCCCGCAGCCGCAGGTCCCCGTACAGGGCGGTGCGGACCAGGACGCCCCCGCCCTTCCCCTCCCCGCCCACCGCCTCCTCCCTCCCTCCCTCTCCCCCTCCTCCTCCTCCTCTCTCCCCTCCTCCCTCCTCCTCCTCCTCCTCCTCCTCCTCCTCCTCCTCCTCCTCCTCCTCACACCACCTCCTCCCTCCTCCTCCTCCTCCTCCTCACCACCACCTCCTCCTCCTCCTCCTCCTCGCCCAGGGGAAGAGTGAGGGGGGGCGGGCCTTCTCCGACGGCGGCGGGGCTTTTCAGAGGCCCTCGCGCCCTCTGAGGGCCCCCCCGGGGCGTCGGAAGAGGCCAAGAGAAAGAGCTTCTCAGAAGGGCCCGCCCCCTTCGCTGGTGGCTTTTCTCTGCTGGTGGTTCTGGGGGCCATATAACGCCGTATATCAGGCCTCTGGTGGCCGTTTTGTACGATCCGGACACCTCTGGAACGCTCTCGGCGAGGCGCAGCTGCTGGGACGCATCCCGAAGCTGGAAAAACGCAGAGAATGATCGAGAACGACCAGAAACCTGGAAACTCGAACCCGAACTGCCTTCCGTTCTGGACGCACCGCCGAGCCTTCTCGAGGACGACCTGCATGTTGTCGATGTCGCGCAGCGCCTGCTCCTTCTGCAGGCTCACCAGCTTCTCCTCCTGCAGCGCAAAGCCCTCGGGGCCAGAGCCGTCCTCGGAGGCCAAGCAAAACTACGTGAGGGCAGAACTTTGGAGGTCCGCGCGGATCTCGTGAGTTGGCACTCGCCCCCCCCCCTGACATCCCAGACCCCCGACGTCCTGATTTTTTGCGTACGACCCCCAGAGGTCTCGACCCATTCCATGGGACCTGTTCTTCATCCTGAGTCGTTTTTTGTCGGTCCCGAGGCCCGGTAAGGGCCCCCAGAGGCAGAAAATGACGAACAACCTCCAGCCGTGTTTGTTTTTTTGTTTTTTTTTAAAAAAGCGAGGGGGTCTGGGATCTTCGCGTCGTGAGAGAAGCACGACCGGAAAGCTTTTGTCACTCTCGGCCTCCTGGGTTGCTCACCGCCCCCCTCCGTTGCTCACCGCCCCCAGGGACCGCCCACAAACTATCTGGGATGGGCAAAAACTGGTCCTGGGGAAGGGTCGGAGGCGAACCCGGGGGGAAGTCGGAGGGGGCGAGCCCTCTAAGGCCTCGGGCCGTCTGAAAGGCTTCCCCGAAAACGCAGGAAACTGCTCAGAAGGCGCGAGGGTTTCCGAGAAACCCCGCCGCCTTCTGAGAGGGCCTGCTTCCTCTCACTCCCCCCCGGGCGGGCCGCAGTCCGGACCGGTTTCTGGGAAGCGACGGTGCGAAGAGATCGCGGCGTCGAATGTCTGGACCCCTCCCCACGCCTCTTCCCTGGCGCGCAGAAATTGCTGTGGACGCCGCCAGGAATGCATGGAGGGGGGTTTATCACCAGCACGCGAACTCCACCCGTATCTCCGAAACCCAGCCGCGAGTCCTGACAAGATCACGACAGGAGCTCGTTTGGTATATTTTCAGCCTCTGGAGACCCTTATTGGCCCTTGTGACCGTCAAGAACGACTCGAGAAAACACAGCGGTCCTGTGGACTGTGTCCAAGCCGCTGGGGGTCCACGTCATGAACAAATCATGACGTCTGGGGTTTGGGAAGCGTGCATGCTTGTGTAGCTTTGGTTTGGGCTGTCTTCTGGCAGCATGTGGCATGGCAACCCCAATCTCCAACTGAGTCGGATTTTCGACAGAACAAACACTTGGCCCCAACTCGGGGACATACGATGGAGGGCGTCCATCATCGATAGGGGTGCGTCCAGATAGTCCCTGATGGTGTATCCCTGACTTCTCCCTCTTTTCTTGACAGCGTTTCCTTTTGGGGGGGGGGCTCGAAGAATGGCAGAACGAACATGATCCGTCATGGTATGATCAGTTCAGGATGCGTCCCAGGAGTTCAGGAGTATCTAGCGGACCTCGTTTCTGGAGCCCATTCGGAACAACAGGACATCGAGGGAATCCTGGAAATCTGGGGCTCTCGGGAGAGGCCAGGTCCATACGGAGTACGTAAGTCCATGTGGAGTGCTCACTCCGTGTTGACCTTGCTCCGTCTGGACTTCGCCCTTCCTGGTAGAAGGCTAAGTCCATACGTACCATACGGAGTGAGTCTATACAGACTGCTCACTCTGTCTGGACGCAGCCTCTCCTGGGAATCATGCCTTCGTGCTCCTCTGGAGTTGGGGACGGGAGAGCGCCTGCGAGAGCGAGGAGCGCCCGAAGTTGCGCAGGTCGTACAGCAGCCTCCGGGTGGCGTCGGACAGGCAGCGCCACGCATTCTGCACCTGAGGGGAATCCCACAATACCAACAATTGACAATCTCAAACCTGTAATGTATGTGGTAGCTTGTTTTGCAAACGCTCTGTGGTGAGCTTCCGCCGGCCTCGCCGGCTCGTCATACGGCCTGAGCAAAAATAGATATGGCACGTCCCTCCCTCTTGCAAGCACGCGCGCGCAGAAGCGAGGAGGGGAGACAAATGACAGATAACTTCTGACTGCGCCGCTCCATTTCGCGGAGCCGGCGTGAGACACGAGAGACGCCGGGACTTACAAATTATTTCGCCATCCCCACCGACTGGTGGAAGAAAGGATGGGTGCCCCCCGGAGCGGCGAAAGAAACAGGTTTTACGCACGGTGGCGCATAGCGACCGCAAGCGGCGGCTTGCGCAGGCCGCCAGCGCGACACGTCGGGCGGATGGCAGAGCGCTCACGCGCGACCTGGCGCGGAAGCTGTCGCGCGAGTGTCGACGCAACCGAACCCGTGTTTCGACGTCGCCCATCTTCGGCGGCTCCGCAGGTCGTTGCTGGCACTGGGTGTGCTTTGAAACCGGCACCCTGGAAAGGGCACCCTCCTGGGGGGCCCCGGCGGGAACCTCGATGGAGCTCTCCGCCACGCCTCCGAGGAGGCCCGACTAGGACAGCGTCTGGGGAAACCAAAAAGTAATGATACCACTGCTCCCCAGACCTCTCCCGGGGTGCGTTCTGACCAGAATTTCGAGGCGAAGCCAGCGGTGGCGACGAGGGCCTCCCAGGAGGCCCAAAAAGAGGAAAACGAGGGCGGGGTAGCGGTATGGGTACCTTGCCCTTCTCTGACTAGAACCGAGTCGTGCTCCAGAGGCCCAAACGGTGCTGATCGCAAGCCACATGCCAGCGACACGCCCTTTGCTTGCCATCGCTCGGGCGCCCCCGTTGCCCCTGCATCTGTCGATGTCGTGCGTTTACTTGTTGCTGAGTGATCCAGGAAGCCTCTCGATGGTCCTTCCCGAGGGAACACTGCACACGTCCGAGCGATGCCCAAGTTTGTGGCCGCGCCCACCTGGTGGAAGCGGTCGGTTACCTCGTCCCCGGGCCGCCGGCGGTCGGGGTGCAGCGTGCGCACCACGGCGTGGTAGCGCTGCCGGATCTCGTCCTTCGGGGAGGGGGGCACAACATGATCAACGCCTGGCATGGAGGCGACGAGACCTAGCCACAGGCACTGCTCCTGACCAGCACCAGCCTGCGCCCAGGAGCGGTGCAGATGCCGCCCTGGCCGAGCCAGGAGAGAGGCGTGTGCACCGCTCCCGGGCCCAGGAGGGGCCTGGCCAGGGGCAGTGGCCACGCTCAGATCTAGTCGCCATAGCTGGCATGGAGGGGCACTGGGCCCCTGGCCATCGCTCGGACGTCCATTCGCTGGGCTTTCTTCGGTTTCGCGCGTGGCTTTTTCACCAAATGATCAAGGATGCTCCTCGGTGGCCCTCGCCGAAGGAAAAATGCACACGCCCGAGCGATGCCGAGGCCCCGAGGGAAGCGCGTCCTGGACCCCCCTGGGGGCCTCCCCGAAAGCACGGGTTCGCCCCCCTTCCTCCTCCTCCTCCTCCTCCTCCTCCTCCTCCTCCTCCTCCTCCTCCTCCTCCTCCTCCTCCTCCCCGAAAGCACGGGCTCGCCCTCCCGAGCCGTCCCCTGGACGGCCCCGAGGCCCGTGGAGGGCCCCGCGGGCGCGAGGGCGGCGCGAGGCCCCAGGATCCCCGCTGCCTCCGTGGCGATCCGTGGCACGCCGCCATGGGGCGCCCATCCCATAGGGGTGCTCGAGCGAATGCGACGGCGCCACGGAGGAGGAGGAGGCGGAGGAGGAGGCGGAGGAGGAGGAGGAGAAGGGGGAGGAGGAGGAGGAGAAGGAGGAGACGTAGGAGGAGGAGGAGGAAGAGGAGGAGGAGGGGGAGGAGGAGAAGGAGGAGGAGGAGGCGTAGGTTTGTGTCGTGACGACTCGGCGCAAGGTAAATGACTCGAGCAAACTCATTCAATATTAAATTAATTGCGCGCCTAAATTACTCAATTTTAAATAAATTACGTCTGAATCACACCGTCTGAAGAGGCGCCCCAAGCGCTTTCGGAGAGTCTGGCACGGCGACGCCTCGCAGGACTCTGGGAGGCGTGTAGGTTACCGCGGCTGGCGCACTTCGCATACAAGGCGGAACGCCTTGCCGCAACAGTCGCGTGCAAGGCGGAATGTCTTGCACACGGCGGCACGTGCAAGACAGGTCGACGAAACCTTGTGCGCGAGCCCGCGGCCCCGGGCGACGCCTCGCGGAGACTGTGAAGCTGCGCTGGGCGCCGCGGCCGCGCATTTTGCATGCAAGACGGAACGCCTTGCGCAACGGTTGCGTGCAAGGCGAAATGTTTTGCGCACGGCGGCGCGTGCAAGAGAGGCGATGCACCCGAATTGTTCCGAAAGCGCCCTAATTGCCACAGAAATCTTCCGAATTGTTCCCAAAACCCCTGAAATGATTCCGAAAAATTCCTCAATTTCGACCCGAATTCCGGGAAACAGCCGCTAAAAACTATATAAAACGATGTGAACACCCGCTTGCCCACCCGCTGGAAAGTATACAACCTGGGCCCAGGCAAGCTTTCCCAAGCTTGACTGCGCCGAGCTTGGGAAACCTCTGATTCCCCAAGCTTGGGAACCCAAGCCCCCCCCAGCTTGACTGAGCCAAGCTTGTACACCACAGGTCCCCCAAGCGTGGCAAACCCAAGCTTCCCCCAGCTTCACTGAGCCAAGCTTGGGAAACCCCTGACCCCCCAAGCTTGGGAAACTCAGGTCCCCCAAGCTTGGGAAACCCGAGGTTCCCCCAGTTTGACTGAGCCAAGCTTGGGAAACCCAAGGTTCCCCAAGCTTGGGAAACCCAAGCTTCCCCAAGCTTGACTGAGCCAAGCTTGGGACGACTAGGTTTCCCAAGCTTGGGAAACCCAAGCTTCCACCAGCTTGACTGCGCCAAGCTTGGGAAACCTCTGGTTCCCCAAGCTTGGGGAACCCAAGCTTCCGCAAGCTTGACTGGGACATCCTTGGAAACCTCTGGTTCCCAAGCTTGGGAAACCTCTGGTTCCCAAGCTTGAGAAACCCCATATAAGGAATCCAATGTAGAGAAGCCCCACATAGGGAATGCCCATATGGGGAAACCCCTATGGGGATTCCCCGCGTAAGGAACCCTAATATGGGAAATCCCCAGATGGGGATCCCTCATAAGGGGGGTCCTCGTATGGGAATACCCCGTACGGTGCGTCGCATATACGGAATCTTCGTGTGGGAAAACCCCATATAAGGAATCCCTATATGGGGTCTCCTCATGTTGGGGGATCACCATGTTAGGAATCACCATTTCAAGAACCTCCATGTGAGGAATCCCCATGTAGGGAATCGCTTATTTGAGGATTTCCTATATTAGAACTCCGTATATTAAGGCCCCCATACATGGGGTTCCTTGTATGGGGATTCCTTGCATGGGGACTCTCTATATGAAAGGGGTTTCCAACATTGGGATTCCGTACATGGCGATTTCCCGTATGGGTATTCCCCATATGGCGATTCCCTATGTTGGGTTTCCAAATGGGGATTGCCCATACGGGAACTCGCCATGGCAGCCCCCGGAACTCTCACAACTCCCGTAGTCCTGACAGCCGCTGCCCCTTGACTCAAACGCAAAGCGCTGGCGCGGACAGGAACCGTATTCTTTTCAAACGACGGGGGCCAGCGCAGCGCGCCCTTACCCCTTGACTCAATCGCAAATCGCGCGCGCGGACAGGGACCGTTTTTTCTCCAAATGACGGGGGCCAGCGCAGCGCGCCCGTGCCGCTCCACTCAAACGCAAAGCGCGTGCGCGGGCAGGATTCTTTTCCAAATGAGCGGGGGCCGCAATGACGCGACTCGACGGCGTGGCGTTGAGCTCGACTGGCAGCCCGCTCCGCGCAGACCCGCTGCCCACGCGCCCTGCCGCCACCGCGCCCCGAACAAACACCACAGGCCCAAGAGCTTCGTAAGATGTCGCCCTGGACCCCGCGACCGCCGCGCGTGCCTATCGGGGCAGTCGCCGCCAGCGCCGCTACCAACGCAAGGATTCTCGCCCAAGCGGCCCTCGCCCACGGGGCCCTCGCCCACGCTGCAACGAAGAATTGAGCCTGGAGCCAAAATGGCAACGAGCCAAAATGGCGACGAGGGAGGAGGAGGAGAGGAGGAGGAGGGGAAGGAGGCGGAGGAGGAGGAGGGAGAAGCGCGGGTGCGGGACAAGAGAAACCCAAACACGGAGAAACTTGCCTGCAAAACCTCCTCCTGCTCCTGCTGTCGAACAACGGCGGCCGCAACTGCAGCGGCGATGGCGCCCCGCCGGACCAGTGCTGGCACGAAGCGCGCGCCTGTCGCCATCTCCTCGTCCTTCTCCGCCTCCTCGTCCTCCTCCCCCTCCGCCTCCTCCTCAGGGGTCCTGGTGTTTCCTGGTCCCTCCTGGGCTCAGGGGTCCTGGTGCTTCCTGGTCCCTCCTGGTCCCTCCTGGTCCCTCCTGGTCCCTCCTGGTCCCTCCTAGTCCCTCCTGGTCCCTCCTGGTCCCTCCTGGTCTCTCCTGGTTCCTTCTGGTCCCTCCTGGTCCCTCCTGGTCCCTCCTGGTCCCTCCTGGGCTCAGGGGTCCTGGTCCCTCCTGGCCCCTCCTGGCCCCTGACCCACAACCCAGGCACTTATGTTATCATATGTTTTGGGTTATGTTTGCGTTGGCACTTCTTCTGTTTTGTACTACTTGTTTTGTTTTTTTTCGGCTCTCTGCCCTGCCGGACAGCTGAGTACCCAGTGTGCGGCTGATGACACAGAGCGGTCGGCGCACGGCTCGCGCAGCTGGCGCGGTACGTATAAAGCAAATCGCGCACCATCTTTGTGTGCGACGCATGTCTATGTAGCGAATCTCTCTCTCCACGCACTTCACATGTTCTGGATGACAGCCAGGGCGCCAGATGCGCCCAGACCACGCGCCAAACGCGCGCCAACATGAAAGTAATGTACTCATGGAAGTGCCATTTCTTCTTGATGTGTCTGGGATCCCATGCATTTTTCCTCACGGTAACTTCAGGTCTGGGGCGCCCGCAGCAACTCACTCGTCAGGGACGGGAATGCGATCTCTCGTGCTCTTGTCCTCTCTGTTCCAGAACACGATGGCCTCCCGGTACCCGGCCTTCCTGCTCTTCACCCAATCCTCGCCAATGCCGAGGCCCCTCACGCCGAGCCTCTTGATCTTGGCCTTTATCTTCGGGCCCCACACGGCCAAGCGACTCACCACCTGCACTCCCGCCGGAACCCCACCGCTTGAGCCCCACCGCTTGAGCGTCCGGCCGCGCGGCTTCGGCGCTGCCTTCTTCAAGTGCTTCTTGGCGACTCCGCGCTGGCGGCAGGGACGAGAGGGAGCGCCGGCGCTCGCTGCCATCGCTGAGACAAGCGCCGGCGCCGGTGCCTCTGGCGGCTGCTCCTCGCCCGGGTGGTCATCGGCTGCATCCGTCAGCGCCTGCCGTTCCAAGTCCTGCAGCGCCGCCTGCTCCGCTTCTTGGGCCCCGCCCAGCAGTGCCGGCCCCTCCGCGTCCAGCCCCTCGTCGGAAACGAGCCACGGATCACCCATTCCGCTGGAGGAGGCCGGTGCTCGCGCCTGCGGGGCGACGCGGCGTGGCGGCGGAGCCCGGGTCGGGCGAAAGGGGGGGATAGCAAAGGGGGGGTTTGAGAATCAGCTCACGTAGCTGATTTTCCCGGCGCCTCCCGGCGCCGGAGGCGGCTATGTATCGAGGAATGGGCCCCTCGGTGAGGCCGAAACCAGCTGCATGCAGCAAATTTCGTAACCCCCCCTTTCCCAATCCCACCCTTTCGCCCGGCCCGAGGCTGGCGCTCTGCTGCTCGCCTCCTCGGGGGCCGCCGGGCCCTTGAGCCGCGACGGCGAGAATGATGATGGCAATGCTTATGATGATGGCGATGGTGATGACGGTTCTGGTGTTCATGGCGGCGGTCAGTGCTCTGGCAGTGTCGCAACGAGGAAGTTCGAGTCGTCGTTGCGCGGGCACAACGACGACGTGCTCGAGGGGTCGGCCCCGGGGCCGGTGGCTTGCCTGAGGGCGCTGACCCACAACCCA